TGGATCCATGCATTATTTCAAATTTCAAGCAGATATGATAAAGGAAAAAAATGGATAAAGGCTCAGGTACAGCAAGTCATCAACATCGAACAGTTCCTGAAAAGAGCAGCAAAGAGCTCCAGGAATGGTTTGGGAAATGATGTCTTCTGTGAGTGTTTATGTTTGGCTGTAGTTCACCAGAAACAAAGGTTGATCCAGTTCTCTTCCCAGTCTCTGTATGAGTTGGCACACGACAGGAACCACATTTGCTTCTAATCACCCATCCATCAATAATGCTGAAAAGACATGGGACAGAGGCCCACAATCACCAGCATCTCATAAAGCCCCACCCTTCCAATTTGAAAGAGGTACTCAAATCAAGAGAGAGTTGTGTTTCTGATCCTGGTCTTTTTGGAAGATACTTATTAAGGCCATTTGTTGACAACATTAAGAATTAGCAAACTATGTTGTTAAAGCATAACAAAAGTTTAATGGTCTCATTAGAGAACTATAAAGTCTGTTACTTAAGAGAAATATTATGGTGTTGGAAAGCAAGAAATATTTACTAGAAGACCCATAAGAGTCTAATTTCTAGAGCTGAAGCAAAGCTCAGCTGTTGTGGTCAAAAGAATTAAAAGAAATACTAAATACTGAGGAGCAAAACCCTTGGATGTTGGATGCCAATTCAGTTCCCTCATTCCTAAGAATGTTATTAATCATGTGGATACATTGAGTTCATTTTTTAAGCTAAAAAAGAAAGTGCGTTTGATTGTAAGAAGTATTGCTTTCTTTTTAAATGTAGAAAGGAGGCTAAGTTTGCTGGTTAGGGCCTAGTGTGGCTAGGAAATAGGAACATTGTTTGGCAAGGAATACCTATTGCTTGTTCCCAGAGGTATACCATTCAAATAGCAGACCCTCATTTCTGAGCAGAATTCTGCTCACATGTGGCTCTCCATCCTCTGCTCTGAAGAAGTGAGATAAAACAGTAATACACTACATGTGGCTGCCTCTAGAAAAGGACTATTCTGGGTGAGGGGCGGTTTTGAACATTTATTGGCCATTGTCTTAAAAAGTGGATTGAGACAATTACCTGAATAATTCAACTAAGTTCAGTCCAAAGTGTGTTTGGATTTGAATTCTCTGGATATTTGTGTTCTAGTGGAAGGAATAGGAACTGGGAGTTGGAACCTCTGAGTTCCAGACCCAGCGCTGCCACAGGTCTGTGGATCACCTTTCTGCTGGGTATAAAATTAGAATTCCTTAACCAGCAAGAGGGTGTTTGAGTATATTTATCAGATTCCACATATTTAGCTTTGCATGTTGGCTGTGAACACACATTCACAGAGATAGGTAAATGTCAAGTGGGTGAAATTGCAGTAGTGGGACAGATTAGATATCAGTGGTTCTTTTTAGGGGCACTTCCAAATTAGCCAAATAAACTGGGGATCCCAGGAGAACCATCTTTAACTGATGCGTGTGGGAACTCCTCCACCACCTTGTTCTCCTTCTTCTTCCTCTTCCTTCTCTTTCACCCTTTTCTTCTTCCTCCTTCCTCCTTTTTTCCTCCCCTATCTTCCTCATCTACCTCTCCATCTCTTCTTCCCTCTTCCTCTACCGGCTTCCTCCTCTTCCTTCTTTTTTTTTTTTTTTAATAATCCTCTTCCTTCTTAATAGCACACCCTGGAGTCAGGATTCGGACTCACATTTCTAGAAATAATATCGATGAAGCTTCTTATCCCCAAGCTGAGGGTCTGGAGTGAGGCCACCCACGACCACTGAAGCTCTTCCTTGTCCTGGCTCAGCTCAGGTAGCAAAGTTTGGATTATGGGCTTCCCTTGGGCCAGTCCCAACTGCCCCTGTTCACCAGAATAATAATGAACAGCAGGGCTTAAGACTGAAGGGACTGTTCACAGTGAACGAGGGTCAAGTGTCACCACCTAGTGAAGGTCCTAGATTCCACCAACAGCCAACTAGGTGCCTAGCTGGGGAGGGAGAGGGCAAGGTAAGGCGACTTGGTGAGGCAGGCAGGCATTGATTCCTCTATTTTCCTCTATCCACCCTTGGTTCTTTGCCAGCCTACAGGGGGTAGAGACAATTGGGTGAGGTCATTCAAAACCAAATTATTGAGCCTTTACTAGCAGCCCTAGGCTGCAGACAGACCAAGTGTCAAATGGCGTTTCCCAATCAAACAGACCTCACACCCCTACTGTGTAGCCCAGCATCCCCCTCTTCCCGAACCTCAGAGTCAGCTTGGGGTATCTTTGCAATGTGGTATTTGCAAAGCTGGGCAGCCGCCCCATTGGCCAGGAGAGGCGCTCTGGACTGGGGCTGGGAGCTTTGGGAAAGACAAGGGCAAGGCATGGCTGGGAGGATGGGCTGAGGGAGTCTTAGGAGCAATGCCGCTGCATCCTCAAGGCCTTGAAGCTCCTCCTCCCTCCGCCCTTGGCGGCAGGCCGGTGAAGAAACCCATTTTCTCCCAGGAGCTGGAGCTGGAAGGTGCTGGTTTTGGTGAGCTGAGAGAGCAAGGCCCACATTGCCTGGGCCAAGGTCGGGGCAGCAGCGGACTAGACTCCTAAGACCTGTCTTGTTTCCTGCAGTGTTCTGGAATCTCCTGAACTTGCGAATTTTCTGCAGTACTTGAAGAAATGGGAGCTATGTTGTTAAGCTTCCTTTCTTCTCTGGATAGCATGGAGAAACAAAAATTCCAGGTCTGGGAGAATGAAGGAGAGGTGGAGAAAGCAACCCAGTCCCAGAACCCTGCCTGACCCCTCCAGCCCACGGATAGTGACTGTCCTTTGAGTCCTGGTTGGAACTGGTAGTGGAACTCTTAACTGGGGCCAAAGGCTCATGAGACTGACAATTCCCTAGCAGTTGCTTCCAAGATAGAACCAGAACCAGAACAAGGATATCAGTTTTCTGGACTCTGGGGTGTTCATGACAAAGGAAATATTTTTATTTTTTAGGGGATTTGAAAACAAATGTTAATTTTAAAACTCACTTTTCTCTTTTTCTCATTGCTGTTTCTATGTTTATCATAAATGAACTAGCAGCAATTTTAGTAAGTAAAAGGCAAAACAATTACACAGCCAGACAGACATCAGATTGTTCATGTATCAATGTGGAAATGAAAACAGGGCTTTACAACAAGGAGGCAAAGGTAGGCAGCACTCTTAAGGAGTGAGGCACACAGTTGGAGAGATGCTGGCTGCCTTCAGTTGCTCCCTCTAGCTTTCCTCGAGTAGTTTCTACAAGGAAAGCAAATGTTGAACCTAGTAATCTCCACCAAATAAACTCATTGTCCCTTCCTTCCCAGCTGATCGGTTTCAGTTTTATCTTCTTGTCTAATTGTCAGCCTTGAGGGTACATGTGTTTACCTTCTGTCATAATTCAACCCTGTTATAATCACTCTTTATGACGACTAAATAATAAAAACCCAAATCATTCCTTACTAATTACTTGTTAGTTTTTGGCATGGGCTTTCTTTTTCCATTCCTGACCCAAACAGGAACCTCCTTGAGTAAGCTCCATTCAATTTTCTGATTTCATTGGATGTAGATACCAGACAATCTTCACATCATAAGATGGGCTTTACTCAAGGATGGTAGGGGGAGAGGGGAGAAGGTCTTGGTTGCCTGTCTAAATTTCTCACCATTTGCATTACTTTTTAGAACTTTGCAATTAATAAACTGCTGGGAATTGTCCTGGGAAGCAGGTGTCCACCTCTAGCAATGAAGAAGACAAAATGCTGATTGGGTCACACCCAAATGAACTTTTGCACTCCTAAAAAGCTGAGTGGTTTTGTTTAGACAAAAACACTGACATTCATGTCGCTGTGGAAACTGCCTGAAGACATTTTTGGTGGTTAGCACAGTTTTACGCCAAGATCAAGTTCCAGCTCTTTGAACCCAAATAAGAATCATTTAATTGAAAATATCTACTTAACTATAAGCTTGTTAGTACCTCAACCTGCCTACTAAAGAATTCTTGGAGAGTCATGAGAACTTACTTGCTGAGGTTACTCTTCAGTGAGAACTTAAAGAGGCAATTGGGTTCTTGTTTAAGAAATTTTGTCTGTGAAAGGCCCATTCTGGACATTTGTATGGCTTGTTTGGTAAAGAAACCTGAAGGCTGCTTCCCAATATTTGGGCTAATTGTGGGAGTGGTGTAAAAGTTTCTGTACTTCCAACCTGTCACTACAAAGCATATAAATCAACTGCAAATTTTATAAAAAAAATAAGCACTATTCCTGGGTTTCATAAAATTTATACATGACTATGTACACAAAATAATATTAAAAATAAAAATCACACTTATTTTCATGTGGCAGTGGTCCTGGCACGCCACAAACATGTTAACTCTTCCTTTAAAGAAATTGCATGGCCCAAGGAGACCATAGTCAAAGAACCACTAATAAAGCTGTAGCCGTTGCCTGCAACATTTTCAATCCAGGTTTCAAAAATATATAAATAATTTAATTACAAAGTCCAACAACGTCCCCCCCTCTTATGGCACAGTGAAGCATTGGTCTTTAACAAAGATAACTGAAGACTGACACTTCTCACAGTCTATTAGTGAATGCCACATACGTACATGAGCAGGGTCATTCAACCCCAAACAGTAGTCATATCATTTATCGAATAGAATGTTTCCCTGATGTGTTTCTTTTGGGGAGGGATGGGGGGAGAGATTAATCAGTAGATGCTGCAACAAAAAAGGTTGGAATATAGGCAGTTTGGGAAGAAGGGAGGCAGAAAAGTCTTCATGAAGGAGAGGACAGAGTTGGCCAAGGAATGAAAAGAAGAACTGCTTTGGTCTCTGTAAAGTTATAAATGACAAAGGAAAATATTCTGGATTAAGTTAAAATACGCTATCAAAACGCTTAGCTTTAAGGCACGTTTGATGGAAGGTTTTGTGTTTTTAAAAACTTTTTCTCTCTATTAAAAGTGCACAGTCCTCCAGCCTTCGTTCCCTGCCCCCACCGCGGCGCCCAGGCGCCCACCCTGTTGGGTTCAGCGCTGGACTCACGCCAGAAGCCTCTCCTCTGGGTAGGGCAGGTGCGGACCCGGGCTGCAAGCCGAGGCCGCGTGCAGGGTGGCGGGCAGCCGCAGGGGGCAGTACAGGTGCGCGGCGGGGGCGGCTGCGGGACCGCGGAACTGCTTGGCTGGGGCAGCGATTGAGAGGGGCGCGAGCAGAAGATGCGGCGCAGGCGGCGGCGGCGCGGGCTGCACCTCGGTCCCCCGCGCACCCAGAAGCGCAGGATCGGCCCCGCCGTATGCACACAGCGGGAATAGGGCCCTTCCAGGCGCAGCGGGGAGGAGTGCGGGGTATGCCGGCAGCGGCGCGCACGGTGCGGCGCCCCAGGGCAGCTGTAAGACCTGCACTCCGTGGTCTGCGTCCATGTCGCGGCGGCTGCGGAAGGGCTTGCTGAGGATGCTGTCGATGGCGAAGGAGCTGGAGAACTTGCCAGCGGGGCTAACTCGCTCCTCCTGGCGGACCGGCGAGTGTGCGCGCGGAGAAGCCGGGACGACGGGCGCGGACGTCTGGGGCGCGGCGGGACCAGCCGGGGCCTCCTCCGGCCTCAGCCCGGGAGTGGGGACCGCTGCCCGGTGGCTGAGGCGCTTGCGGCGGCGACGAAATACCCCGTCGGCGAAGGTGTACTCGCTGTTAGGGTTAAGCATCCAGTAATTGTCCTTGCCCCAGGGCCGAGAGGGGTCGCGCAACACCTTGACGAAGCAGTCGTTGAGAGAGAGGTTGTGGCGCACCGAGTTGCGCCAGCCTGTGTAGCTGCCGCGGAAAAAGGGGAATTTGCCCATGAGGTACTCGTTGATCTCGGCTAGTGTCAGGCGCCCGCCCGCCGAGTCGCGGATGGCCATGGCGATGAGTGCAATGTACGAGTACGGGGGCTTGGGCCGCCTCGTGTACGGCTTGCTGCGCGCGCCCTCACCGCCCCCTGCGTCCCCGCAGCCCCGTCCCGCCGCGCTGACTTCGGTTCGTCCCTCCGAATCCGGGGGGCCGTCGTCCTGAGCGCCTGGCCCGCCGCTGGCGCTCGGCTCGCAGCTACTGCTCGCTGGATCCCCGGCGTCACCGTTCGCCGGGCTGTTGGCTGCACAGTCCCCGTCCGAGCCCAGGGAGTCGTCGCCTGTCACCGATAGCGGGGAGGGAGCGTCGCTGCCGCCGGCGCCCTCCAGGTCACTGCCCGGCTTGTCCCCGTGGGTCGCGCGGGGCACGAACACCTCCAACTTCATGCCGCGCACCCGATCTCCGCTCGGCGCAGTACCCTTTCCTTCGTGCAGTCTCGGGGAGCCAGTGCCGGGTCGGAAGTGGCGGTCACGCAACGGGAGCCCAGGCCTCCCGCCCAAGACTTCTCTCTCCTTGGTCTCTCTTTTCGTAGAGTCCTCCGCGGAATTTACCTCGGGAGGGGTTGTGAGTGTTGGGTAAACTAAGAAGGGCGGAGAAGTAATCGGGTGGGTGCTGTCTTTAGCCCGAGGATTACAGACTTTGGAGTGAATGCGTGAGGGCTGCGGTTCTCCCTTTGAGCCCGGGCGGGTCGGGCTGATGAATTCTTGCTGGAAGAAGCCTGCGTATCCTTAAGTCCTGGAAACGGTTCTTCTCTGGAAGGCGTCCTCAGGGCAGGGAGAAGATGCGGGATGGTGTGTACGCCACCTTTGGAGAGGAGCAAGAACCTTCAGCCTCGAGCGCTGGTAGAGCCGAGTCCTCGAGGCTGCTGCGCCCGCAGCCGCGTTCCCGCCCCCGGCCTCCGGGACAGCATGTCCGCGCTGGCCAGCCGCAGCTATCTCGCCTCCACCTTCAGCCTGGCCCAATATAACCCGGCGGCGGCCCACGGGGCGGGGCCTGGGCAAAGACCTCCAGGGGGTGGGAGAACGAGGTGGCCAAGGTATAGCCGAGGCTCCCTCACGGGCGCGCACCGGGCGGAGACCACGCGGCTGCGCGGCCACGGGCTCGCTCAGCCCAGGTTGTTTGTTTTGGGTCTGAATGGCCCCACCCTCTTCTCTCACCAATGGGGAGCGTGCGCGCGGGTGGAGTGTGCGAGTGTCTGTGAGTGTGAGAGTGTGCGCATGTGTGGCTGCCCCGCCCGTCCACTTCTCGGCTCAGGTACGAGTGTCCGGCTTTCGGTAGCCAGAGTGAGGTTTCTGTGCCCTGGGTTCTCATAGGCTGTTGGGCAAGTGCGCCCGGTAGGTAGACACCCCATGATATACCCCTAGGGAGTTACCTGAAAGGGCTCAGAGTGTGGAGAAAGCTCAAGCTCGAGGCCTTCTTAAACTGCGAGAGGTGTGCGTTTGCTTCTTTCCCTTGTCAACGTGGATGCTCAACAGCCAAGTGCTGTTTTCTTCCTATGATTTCCTTGTAAGGATTATCTGTGCCTTATTCCTTCTTTAAAGCTTGAAACTGGGAGCTCCCCTTTTTGGATGTCCTTGATGCTTGTTTGGTAGTAGAATTCCGAGTTTCACTTTTTTTTTTTTGTCTTTACCTAGCTGGAGACTCCTCTGGACAGCTGTGTCTGGCGTGGGGTGGCAGGTTCTGCCTCCACTTGTATTCCTCCGGAACTCTGAAGTCTCAGCCACGGTATTCCGGTTCTGAGAGTCAACAGGAACGACCAGAAAGGCGTGTCTTGACTGGGGCCAAGAGCCAGACGCAGTTGCAGTCATTTCTCCCCACCCCTCTTCCTTTAGAGTTTTTCCTGTATGGTTCAGTAGTACCACCTTAGTACTCAGGAGACTTGGCGCCAATACTCGAGGGAAAGGGCGCCCTGGCCTGGGTAAGAGTGCACATATAAACCAGTTGCCTACCACTCTTGTTTCCTCCTTTTTTTGCCCCCTGCTTTGTTGCAAACAGTGACTGGGCTGCACATCTTTGATGTTTATTTTATTTCTTTCCACCATTTGTGTTGAAAGTGTACACAACCCTGTCTTATCTTTATTTAAGGAGTTTTAAAGGAATTCAGAATAGGGTGGACAAAATGACAGGCTCTCAGAAGACTGTTACTTCGTGCTTGGAGGAATGATCTAGTTTGAAGGCTAGACTGTTTATTTCGTGAGTTAAAATAGGAGGAAGGTGAAAAGGTTGGGGAGAGCTTCTTTTCTGTCCTAAAGAGGTTTTGCTTAGCTCCAGACTAGGAATTGATGACTGTCTGAACCAGGCCAGAGTAGTGGGTTGGGACAAGAAATTAGCCAGGCAGAGGAATCGATTTGGCCAGGGATAAAAGACATTCTTAATGAATGTTATCCTTGTGTGAACTCTGGGTGGGCAGGACAGGAGAGTGCATGCCTATTTTATGGAGGGGATAAGTTCCAGGAGGGGTGAGGCTCTAAAACACCACTGGATGACTCCATGCCAAGAAATATTGGTTGCTGTCAGGCAGTTTGCCTCATCTCTATACCCTTTGCCTCCTCCCCTCCCCATCCTTCTCCCCATCAGCTGCCACAGACCTCATTTTAATCTCTGGTGGGTCAAAGACCAACTTACTTGTCAACCCATCAAGATGGCCACCGTCTAAAAGTTTGGATTTGGAAAAGGTTTGGGTCAATTGGGTGGGGGTGGAGGTAAGAGAATTCTCAGCAGGGAAACTTTCTGTTTTCCCAGTGACTCAGAGCCCTAGGCAGTGGAACTAAGCAGGTGAAGGGGCAGGTGAGGAGCTGCTTGCATTCTTTCTTCCTCTGGAAAGGAAGCGCCCCCCTCAAGATAGAGTAGTGAAAGTGACCATCTGATAAGTGTAAAAAGACCTCCAGAACTGAAATATAGGCGCAAGGAGGGTTGAGGTTTTGTGGCTTTTCTTCAAAGCTATATGCTCCATCCTTGCCATATCTATGTACAGTGTGATAAGGGTATGCTGTGTTTGCCTTCAGTTAAGTGTAGAAATAAATGGCCCTTTCCTATTGGGTCCGTTTTATTATTTTTAGCTTTTACAGACTTAAGAGAAAATAGGAACAGAAGAAGAAGGGCATCTAATCTCTGCATGTCTATCTGATACTCCCTTCCCAAAGCTGGGGGTAGCTTAGGAGGTGAGACACTGGAAAACAATCATATGCATTATTTTGTTTGTATGTAAATGTCTTTCAAATACTTGGAGATTTCTGCTTCCTAATACTTAGTCTTTGGGGAATATGTTGTTTATCAGGTTAATAATGAATTCCTATAGACAGAGTCTGACCAAATATTTGTAGGTAAGATCCATTACCTTGCCATTTTGTTTTTCTTTCTTTAGAGATAAGTGACTAAAGTATGGCAAAAGGTAAATTCACAGTTCCATGATCTTGTGGACTACATAAAATGATTTTGAAAAGAGCTAATGCATGTATCTTCAGCACCAAGAATAACGTACTAACTCTGGAAACTAACTAACTTACTAACTAACTCTGGAAACTGAATATCATAATTTGATAGTTCTTCACTGCTCAGTTCCTAGTCTAGGAAGCAAAGAATTTAATTCATAAAGTACCTAAGGTGACTTAGTATACTGGAATGAACTCCCCAGGGGGAATATTGATGTCTTGTCCTGAATACTAGTAAAGCAGGCTGCTTCCTATACAGAGGACCACTGAATCATTCTGATAATAACACTCATCCAACAACCTAGAAATCAGTGTTTCTAGACTTGAAACTATGCTGCTGACTTCTTTATCTGAAGAGAAGGTAGATTTAAAATAGCATTCCTAGAGAACAGCATGTCTGGGTAGGGCTGTAGCATGTAGAGGTTTAGAACTGAACAGCCCCAGGCATAGAAAAAGGGCTAATGTTGAGAGCTCCAGGGCAATCTTTTTGGCTTTGCTGACATCTTTCTTGGGGCAAAGAGAAGACATAATTTAGGGGCTGGGAATCTGGTGAAGTTACTATGTAAATCCCAGGTCCCTCTGAACCAATCAATGTCTCAGTGAAAAGAGGAGTGCTTTATACTTTGTTCTAACCCACATTTTTCTCGTCTGGAAAATTTATTTGTAGATGTGGTTGCTGTAGACTTTGGAAGAATCCTGCAGAGATTGAGGTGGGCTGGGGATAGGTAGGTAAAACCTGGGCATTTTTACATATCTTGATTTCCACTTCTTTTCAAAGAGATTTCAAAGGAGTCAGCCTCATTTATCTCATTTAAACAGTGTTTTCCTTTTGGTCCACTGGCCTATGAACACAGTTTAACCAGAGAGTCCCAGTAACTGAGTTATTAAACAGGTGCAAACTCTTAAGACTGTGCTTGAAATTTACTCTTAAGAGCCAAGGGCCACAAGAAATATTTAGTTTCTTTTTGCAATGTTACCCAGTTCTCTCTTTCTAAACATTAAGGCTTCCACTTCCAACAATAAATTACAAATCAGATCCTTCCTGATATTTGTCAAAGGATAGAATTTTTTTTTTTTTGCATGAGGAGAAATGACTCTTTCACTTTGGGGGAAAGCTCCATTATCATGATGTCATACCAATAGGGCAAAAGAGGGGCAGATGGGAAAGGAGACCTAGTTAGTATTTTTGTGAGTATAAACAATAAATGTACAAATGTGTTGGGGGTGGCCTAGCGATAGAGCATACACAAGGTCCTATGTTTGATCTTCAATATTCCAGTATTCCAAACACACATACACACACACACACACACACACACAGATGTACAATAAAACAAAACAAATTCTTTATTTTTTTTTCTGGGGTGGGTCTTGTACCATTCCTATAGGCCCCAGCACCAGGACCCACATTTCAAGTTTTGTGCCTGTGGGGTGGATGTTGGATGGACTCTTCCACTTAACTCCACAGAGGGCATTGTCAAATCTTTGAATAGATGTGGGCTTTGGCAACAGATGAACTTGAGCGTATACCTGCTCTGTCAGGCAAGTTGTCCAATCTTAATGATTTTTATTTAGTTGAAATTTTTTTTTAAATTTAAATTTTATTTTATTTGTGAACATGCTGTACAGAGGAGTTACAATTACATGGGCAGGATAATGCGTACATTTCTTACAAAGCATTGCAGCTCCTCCTTTGTTTACCCTTCACATCCCTTCCCAGCCTCCCCCCTCCCCCCCAATCCCAATCCTTCTCCTTCCCCCCCTTCTCCCCCCGCATCGACGTTGTAAAGCTCGTTTTGGACATGACAACTTGTACTTCTCATTGTTGCAACAGGTCCACCTGTATCCTTAAACAACTGGTTTTTCCCCATCTCCTCCACAAGTTATACTGACATCAAATATAGTGAAAGCAGGGGTTATACTGTGGGGGAGGGACATACAAAGCAACAAAGAGATAATCTTATAAATGCGTTAGAAACACATGCATGAAAGAAAAAAACATTAAAATACACATCTAACGGTTCATTTTCCTGACATCACATTATCTGACCTTTTCCGCTTGACTCATACATATACTAGATATTACAAATAAGGGAAACCATGGGACCTATGTTTCTTTGGGCCTGGCTTACTTCACCTAATATAATTTTTTCCAAGTTTTTCCATTTCCTAACAAATAGTTGAAATTTAAACTTAATATTTGTATAATTGTGAGAACCCTTGTAAGTACAAAATCAGAACATCAACTCTCTAGTTTATGGGTTTTATTAGTTGTTTGTCACTTCCTTTTTTTCATATTTCAGGCCACTATGAAGAGAGATTGGTCTTTGCAACCCTAGATAGGTAAATGCCCTGGCACTAACTGAG